GCTGGAAACTAAATTAGTTTAATGAAAACAAAGAAAATTTTAAAAGTAAAATTTAAAAAGCTTAATGTCAAGTTTAGATTAAAAGAGAAATTACTACACTAGTTTATCATTTAATTTATGAAGGAAAGTTTTAAAAAAAATAACGATTTTAAAAGTATAAAGACTGTAACATTTACCTTTTTGTAGGGATAACAGAACTAAACCATTAATTTATGAATCCAAATATAACTATTCTTCCAAAAATAAATTGTCTTTCCTAATATCATCTTATAAGAGCCAAAAACAGAAAAAGCATACTTAGAATTTAGTAGTGTTAGAGAATTTAGTAGTGTTAGAGCTAAAATCAATATAAAGCATATTAATTCTAGTTCCACTTTCTTTTTCCTCCCACTTGAAGGAACAGGTCCTAAAAAGAAATGTTACTTACCCAAGTCTCTCAATTTAGCTTATTCAAAATGTTTATGGAAAGAGCCTAAGTGTTCATCAACAGATGAATGGATCAAGAAGATGTGGTTTATCTATACCATGGAATACTACATGGCAATGAGAAACAATGAAATCTGGCCATGTGTAGCAACATGGATGGACCTTGAGGGTGTTATGCTGAGCGAAATAAGTCAGGCAGAGAAGGACAAATTTCATATGTTTGCACCTATAGGAGGATTAGGAGGAACTTGACGGAGGAACAAGGGGGAGAAGAAGGGCGGAAATGGTGGGGGAAAGGGAGAGAGGCAAACCATGAGAGACTCTTGAATGTTGACAAAAACTGAGGACTGATGGATATGGGGGGAGGAGGGATGGGCATGGAGGAGGACACTTGTGGGGATGAGCACTGAGTGTTATGTGGAAACTAATTTGACAATAAACTATTTGTAAAAAATAAATAAATAAATAAATCTAATTCCTCAAAATATCAAGCAATATCATAATGCATTTTAGCAGCATTTAAAGATAATTACATATATTTGATATTAATCAATATTATATAATACCTTTATTAGGGGGGCACCTGGGTTGCTCAGTCGGCTAGGCAGCTGACTTGGGCTCAGATCATGATCTCACGGTTTGTGGGTTCGAGCCCCACCTTAGGCTCTGTGCTGACAGCTCAGAGCCTGGAGCCTGCTTCAGATTCTGTGTCTCCCTCTCTGCCCCTCTCCTGCTCATACTCTATCTCTCTCTCTCAAAAATAAATAAACATTAAGAAATCTTTAAAAAAAATACCTTTATTAGCAGCACACAAATACATAACCATACACTGCTACTATTGCTACCACTTACCACCTAATAAGTTCCAAAATATGCTAAGTATATTCTAATCATTTTATACACAATTTTTAAATGTATATTTATTTTTAAGAGAGAGAGAGAGGGAGGGAGGGGAAGAGAGAGAGGGGACAGAATCTGAAGCAGGTTCCACGTCTCTGGGTTGTCAGCACGGAGCCCAACACCAGACGTGAATCCACAGACCACAAGATCATGACCTGAGCCACACAGGTGCTCCTACTCTAAAAATACATAAATATGTACCTTTTTAATCCTCATAACAGCCCTGAGAGAGAGGTACTATTACTACCTTCATTCATTGAATGAAGGTAGTAATAGTTCACAGTAGAAAAACTTCATCAAGGTTACATAGGTGTAAAGAGCAGAGCTGTGATTAAAACCAAGGTAGTCTGATTCAAATTCATTCTCTTAACCAATAAAAACAAAACAAAATTTAAAAATCCACTTCTCTAATTTTAATTATTACCAATCACAGCTTATCCTATACTTGATTTCTTTATTCTTGAGGCCTATACATAATATTTCTTTCCTTTATGTTGATATTAGAATCCTGCTTAGATGACTCCAGGATTTCTGAGAGGCATTTTAGAGAGAATGTAAAATAAAGTGATTAGAGCATTTGCCAGAGTATCAGGATTAGCTCTAGTATTTGCCAGCTTTGTGACCTTAAGTAAAGTACTTACTTTTCAGAGTATCCTTTCTGTAAAACGGGAGTAACAATAGTACCTGTCTATGCCACTGTAAGAATTAGAAAAGATTCTACTAACAAATATTTATTGGGCAACTAATATACACCATATGCTATTCTAGGTACTAGGGGTACATATGAAAAAGACATTACATTCTAACAAGGCAGATAGATAACAAACAGGTAAAGAAGTAAATTTAAGCAGTAAGAGCTATGAAGCAAATAAGGCACTGTAAAAGAAAATGAGAGAGAAAACACTGGCAGAGGTAAACATATAGCATATATTATTATTGACAATTTAACATTAAAGGCTTCTGAGATGACTTTTCCCCCATTTAGAATTTTAAGAATTTAAAGGAAGACTCTTTGAGGGCAGGGAATATAGTTTTCATTTACTCAGTCTTTAACTAGGTTAATAGCACAAAGGGAGGTACTTGGAATGTAAAGAATGACTGTGAAAGTCATGGCCTTAAAGGAAGTCTCAATATATTAGAAAACCTGGTGTTGTCCTAATGGAACTTAAAACCTTGTAGAGAAGATAGTAAGAGTACCATAAGTGTTAAAAACCGAGAAGTACAAGGAACATTCCAAATGGGAATCTAACTCAAACGTGGGGATATCAAGGAAGGCTTCCTGAAGAATTAGCAGAAGTTGTTCAAAAAAAAAAAAAGAGGAAGGAGGAGAAAGTGCAGAAGAAAATAAAAAGTTCATAAAGCACTTATGACTGTACTGACAAACAGGAAGCCTAATAAGCCATCTGAAGACTTCTGGAATTTGTCCCCAGAGTAAATGAGTTTTTTCATCTCCTCCCTGAAAAATTAAAAGTACAGACAGAACTTATGAAGCAATAGTTTTTAAGATACAGGATATCAGGTAAGAAAGAGTGATTCCTGAGACATAGGAAATAAATGAGATAGGTCCTATAATCGCCTTAGCTTACTGTCTTGAGAGAGTTTCTAGGCTGTGCCATGGGGAGGGGGAACCAAGATATCGCCCAGCAAACCTGAGATGAAGAAAGAATGCTCTCCAGTCCAAGAAAATGGGAAGACTAAAGTTCACAGGGAAGAATATAAAGTGGAGATAGCTGCACAAAGAATGAATTCCAGAGATCTGCTGAGGGATCTCTCAAGAATCTAGCAGGGTACTGATCAGCATATGTGAGTGAATAGTAGAAAGAATCACCCTAAATGATGAAGCACTCACACAGGGCATGGAATAGTGCCTGTTACCACCAGCCAGACTAGAAACCCTAACAATTCATAGAGCATTAAGTGAGGACTCAGAAGGAGCTAGCCTCTACTGAGGTAACGCACAACTAAACCCTGCTCAGGTCCCACCTAACAAATCCTAAAGCAGATTAAAAACATCAAGCTGATTCCCAGTAACTTAACTGTGTCTCAGAACAAAATCCAAGAGTATTTATAGAAATATAATAACATTCAGCACCCAGAAGGTAAAATTCACATCTGAAATTTAAAAAAAAAACAAAAAAACTTTTAATTTAAAAAAACTAGGCATGATTCCATTTATATAAAACTATGGATATGAAAACGAATCTATAGTGACTGAAAAAAATCTATGGTTGCCTGGGGGAGGAGGGATGAGGCAGAAAAAGGTCCACTGGTCTAACCTGAACTTAGGATGGACCTTTTCAGGAATCATTTTGTAATATCATATACAGGCCATTTAGAAAATATTTGGTTCACTGATTTTATAGCTTTTATAAATGTTAACACATTTCATTACACAATGTCAAAATGTCACATTCTATAATATCACCACCAATATCATTAGGAAAGTCTACAAGTACCATAAAACTGCCAAGCTCACAGTGGCATATAGCGTTTTTCAAAATTCTGATTTTCAATCAAATTTTATCAGGCTTAGTTTATTTTCAAGAATTACCATAATCCATCTGTCGGTCATTCTTTCAAGTAAAAATAATGTTCCATGAGAAATGTAGCTAGTTTGGCTAACAATCCAAACTATCCAACAAGTGCTTTTCCTCAGGATAATCATCCTATTCCTGTATGCAAAATGTTGGAAGCACTACTCACCCCTTCACACAGAATGCTAAAAAAGTTCAAGGGCTGAGTTAATAAAATTCGTAGTAATTTTTACTACTTCATCAAGGACATTCTCAGGTTGAAACAGGTTTTTATTAACTGTTCATTACTGATGAAGAAAACTACTATTAAGTTGGGGGGGGGTGGCGCCTGGGTGGCTCAGTCAGTTAAGCATCTGGGTCTTTTGGTTCAGGTCATGATCTCACAGTTCATGAGACTGAATCCCACATCAGCTCAAGTCCTGACCTTGAGGTTCACAGGGCCCTGCCTCAGGTTCCATGCTGACAGTGTAGAGTCGGCCTGGGATTCTCTCTCTGCCTCTCTATCCCTCCTCTGCTTGCATACTCTCTCTCACTCTCTCTCAAAGTAAATAAATAAACTTAAAAAAAAAAAAACAACAGATTGGTATCACTGTCTTTTTTTTTTTTAAAGTAGGGTCTATGCCCAGTGCAGAGCCCAACATGGGGTGTGAACTCACAACCCTGAGATCATGACCTGAGCTGAGATCGAGTTAGACACCTAACCAACTGAGCCACTCTAGTGCCCCTTAAAAAAGGCAAATAACATATTATTACTATGAAAATACTTTTGACCTCACACATTGCCTGAGAAAAAAATGTCAGTAATCTCCAGAACTCCCTAGACTACTCCTTAAGAACTGCTTGCCCTAAGGACACTGAATTACAAGGAAGTACAGTCTACAACATTATACAACATACAAGAGAAAAATAACCTTTCAGATTTCTTTCTAGTCCAATTCTCTCATTTTATAAGGGAAGAAAGAGGAACACAAAGAAAACAGGGTTTCCTATCTCACACATTAGTAGCAGAGATGTGATAGCACTTCGAGGACTTCTGAGTTGTTTTCTACTATTCTTTGCGTTATACTATTCCTTTAAAAAAAAAGTTTACCAAATTCCATATTTTCCTTCTTTAAACTGAACAATGGCGTAAATACATACATTTTGTAGAGAAGCAGAGTTTATCTTTCCTAATGGAGAGTTGAGTTTTGTCTTTCCTGAAGCAACTGTTGCATCCAAATGATGTACTTCTTTTTCAAAACAATGACGCTTTCTAATCTATCAACATAGAACCAAAATGAAGTTTGATGTAAACTAAACGTCTGAGCAGAAAAGTTGTTCTTGAAGGTCAAAAGTAGTTTTCTATATGTCTTAAGCATAAAAAAAAAAAAGATGACTCTTTCTAACTGAAATAATCAAATAATTTTTAAATATATAGGAGCGTCTGGGTCGCTCAGTTGGTTAAGCGACCTTGACTCAGATCATGATCTCATGGCTTATGGAGTTCGAGCTGCCTCACTCTGTGCTGACAGCTCAGAGCCTGGAGCCTGCTTCAGACTCTATGTCTCCATCTCTCTCTGCCCCGCCCCCACTCGCACGCACGTGTATGTCTGCGTGCTCTCTCTCTCTCAAAAATAAAAAAAAACCATTAAAAAAAATACAAATGAGCCCATCTTACATCTCTCAAATCCTGACCAAAATAGCTTTAATTAGTCACATGTCAAAACTATTGTGTTGTATGGGACACCTGGGTGGCTCAGTCAGTTAAGCATCTGACTCTTTTTCTGTTTGTTTGTTTGTTTTTGAGAGACAGAGAGAGACCGTGCCGGAGCAGGGCAGCGGCAGAGAGAGGGAGACAGAATCCAAAGCAGGCTCCAGGTTCTGAGCTCTCAGCACAGGCCTGATGTCGGGCTCAAACCATGAATTGTGAGATCATGACCTGAGCCAAAACTGGACACTCAACCAATGGAGCCACCCAGGTGCCCTAAGCATCTGACTCTTGATTTCAGCTCTGGTCATGATCTCACAGTTCACGAGACCAAAACCCTTGTTTGGCTCTACACTGACAGTCCAAAGCCTGCGTGGAATTCACTATCTGCCTCTCCCTAGCTTGTGCTCTCTCAAAATATATAAACCCTAAAAAAAAAAAAAAATATATATATATATATATATATAATTGTAAAACGATCTTCCCATAAATAGTCCCACCATAAGAACATCATAGTATTACAGTAAAGTTTGATTATTAAATGTAAATATTAATGATATCCTACATAACAAAAATAAATTATTTGATTAGCATTATTACTTACTAGATATTTGATAATTCAAATTGTATTTGATTAAATTTCTTTCATAAATACCACTAAGTTTTCTTTCCAAACTGTCTATGCTTTTTCCTACTTGCCAAAAACCTATTTACTTAAACGATAAAGGAAAAAAGTATTTCCAGTGATAATTCTATTCTTACCAAAAAAGAAATAAGAGTCAGTAAAGTCAGAGAATAAATGATACATGTTGAGCTCTATCATACAACATCCTATTCTATGTACACATTTTGGAGAAGAAAATCTATACAGATTCAGAATTCGTCTGTAATTAGTACTTTCCAAAAATAAAACAGTTTATTCTATTTCTAAAATCAAAGTTTAGTTCTGGAAGTTAATAATGATTATAAATGGAATAGAAAACTACATAGGAATGCAAACTTTTTTTGAGTAAATTTAACTAGAAATATATATTATCTACACATGACATATTAATTATAAAAGTCTCTTTATCTGTAACTAAGCCTATCAAAGTCCCAGCATCCCTACCTCACTGCCATGAACTCTATAAGAAAATACTGTATTTGTGTATGAACATACATTTCATTAAAATATAGTATTTAGTAATTCAGGTCTTTCAATAATTTTTAGAAATAAACATTTTATCATGTATTGATATTAAAAACTCAATAAATAAGAATAATCCTTGTCATCATACTAAAATTATCAATAAAAAATATTCATGACATAAATATTCATATCAAAAGTATTTTGGCCAAAAGAAAATGCCATCATTAGATAACAACAACCTAGGAATTAAAAAGTACAAAGTAGCTATTTTACCAATTTATGTCTTAAGTAAATATTTAACTAATTCCTCATATACAGGAAAGCACCATGTACTTTCACATTAAAGACATATTATGAATAATCTGTTATAATAACAAACTCTTTTTAATGAGTAACAATATAAAATGAAGTTACAATAATTTATTGTTTAATTTATATCTATGATAAGACCCAAGTAAATTGCACAAAGGCCACTGAAAACTTGATTGATAGTTGACTATCTTGTGCAGCTATAACTAATGGTACTATTTCACTCCCAATAAATTGTTTACCTGCTGTGTAGTTTCTAAGGGTCGAATTCTTTTCTTCTCTACTTGAAAATCATCATTTTCATCTCTTTTTATGGAAGCCTGTTTCTTGGCAGATAGCTTTGCAGCCAGCGTACTTTTTTCAGGAGAGTCTTCTATAAGTCATAAAAAATTACCATAAATGACACTTAAAGTTAATTTTTCCAGGAAAAAATTAGAATCAAGATGTTAAACACTCCTCAAGATTTCATAACATACTTTAAAACATGAAAAGCTCGACATGTTTAAAAGCATTTATTTAACATTGAGTAGACAACAAAAATAAAATATCTTGAGAAATATGCTTTCAACAGGAAAGTCCAATTTTGATTTAATAGGCTTATGCTTTTGTAAACCATTCCCAATAGTGTGGTTTAAAAAATATAACCTTGGGGCACCTGGGTGGCTCAGTCAGTTAAGTGTCTAACTTCAGCTCAGGTCACAATCTCATGGTTTGAGAGTTCAAGCCCCACATCAGGCTCTGTGCTGACAGCCCAGAGCCTGAAGCCTGCTTCAGACTGTGTCTCCCTATGTCTGTCCTCCACCCCAACCCCAAAAATAAACATTTAAAAAATTAAATAAATAAATAAAAGTAAAAATTAAAAAAATAAAAATATAACCTTAAGGTGTGCCTGGGTGGTTCAGTCAGTTGAGTATCTGACTTCACCTCAGGTCATGATCTCACAGACTTATGAGTTCAAGCCCCACATAGGGCTCTCTGCTGTCAACACAGAGCCTGCTTCAGATCCTCTGTCCCCCCTCCTCTCTCTCTCTCTGTCCCTCCCATGCACTCCCTCTCTCTCTCAAAAATAAGCAAACATTAAAAAATATATATACAGGTGCCGGTGGCCCAGCCGGTTAAGTGTCCAACTATGGCTCAATTCGTGATCTCATGGTTCGTGAGTTCAAGCCCCACATTGGGCTCTGTGCTGACAGCTCACAGCCTGGAGCCTGCTTCACATTCTGTGTCTCCCTCTCTCTCTGCCCCTCTCCCAATCGTGCTCAGTCTCCCTCTCAAAAACAAACATTTAAAAATTTTTTTAACTAAAAAATATATATTTATATAGATACAGATATTTGTAAGATTCTCCCAAGAAAATATTTCATTTATATAAAAACCTTTCTTTATGGTATCTCAATGTTTCTTCCCCACTAAGCTTCTAAATGTTCTTTAGGCTTGGGGCGCCTGGGTGGTTTAGTCGGTTAAGCGTCTGACTTTCGCTTAGGTCATGATCTCGCGGTTCGTGGGTTCGAGCCCCGCGTCGGGCTCTGTGCTGACTGCCAGCTCAGAGCCTGGAGCCTATTTCAGAGTCTTTGTCTCCCTCTCTCTCTGACCCTGCTCACACTGTCTCTCTCTCTCTCTCTCTCTCTCCTAGAAATAAATAAAAATATTTTAAATAAATAAATGTTCTTTAGGCTTAAAAATACAGTAGAATCAAGCTCTATAACCTGCCTTTTAATCCTACCACCCTGAAAGTCATCAGTGACCTCTTAATCACCAAGTAATATAGCTCCTTTAATATTCCCAATATCATATAGCTAGTAAGAGGCAGAGTGTGGATATGACTGACTCCTGCTGTCTGACTCCAAAATTCATCAGCATAATCTCTAGGGATACAGCCAAACAGAACACTGTCTTCTTGAAATGTAATAAATACATTTCGGTTTTCCTTAATACCTATTTACACTTAACTGCTCCTATACATGGGTTTTTCCTTTTCCCTAAATGTGAGTGTTCTGGAAAGCACCTTCCTTCCTCTCTACTTTTCTCTATATATTCCTTCCACTTCTAGGGCTTGAATTGATTTAACAAGCATTTATTTTACGAAGTCCATGTAATTCCAGAAACCATGGAAAAGCAATGAAAAAGAAACAGCCTCTGGCCTTAAAGGATTTATAGACCATAAGAGAAGAAAGCCCTATAAGCAAGTCCAATACTGATTTTAAAAACCAAGTTTGAGTCTGTAAAAACAAAGTAAATCTATGCCACATAGCACTGATTTTCAAGCTTTTATTGAGGAGGACTCTATTTTTAAAATAAATATTGCTTAAAATTTCCAAAACAGAATAAAAGACCTAGAACTTCCCTGACTTGTTGCGCCCTTACCCCTACAAGCCGTATTTTTTTTCCCAATCTTAGGAACATAGTTTAAATACCACCTTATTCTAAAATCTTAATGGTTTTGCCTTTTATACATAGGTCTTTTCTTTCTTTCTTTCTTTCTTTTTTTCTCTCTTTCTTTCTTCCTACAAAATTCAATTTTATTAGTATCAGGCAGTGTGCGAAAAGTTTTACATAGATTAGCTCCTGCTACCATGGCATAAAGTAGCAATTGTTATTATTTTACAGTTGGGGAAACTGATACATAGAAAAATGGAGTTAAGTGCCCAAGGTAAACAATGGGACCCATTCTAAACCTGTTTCCAATGTAACCCAATACCTTGAAGTTCTGATTTTTTTAAAGATTTTATTTTTAAGTAATCTCTACACCCAAAATGGGGCTCAAACTCACAACCCTGAAATCAAGAGTTGTATGCTCTAAGCCAGCCAGATAACTTTTTAACTTTTTTCATTATTAAGTAAGCTCAAGTCCCAACATGGGACTTGAACTCACAACCCCAAGACCAAGAGTTGCATGCTCTATCCACTTAGCCAATCAAGTACCTCTAACACCCTGAAGTTTTAAAAAATTATCAACTAATATAAGCTCATTATGAAAGACTTCACCAAATCAGAAATATAAATAAGTAAAAGTAAAATGCCAACTGCTTCCCGCCCCACTTTTCCACTTCTGTAAATCTTCTTCTCTGAGATAATCACTATCAATCTTTTGGCCTGAATCCATCCATCCTTCCTTCCTTCCCTCCTTTTCTTTCTTTTTTTTACCTTTTTTTTTTTTTTTTTTTGGTTTTCCTTATAATAAATATACTCTTTAATCCCCATCCCCAACTCACTCCCCCTCTGGTAACCATCAGTTTGTTCTCTACAGTTAAGAATCTGTTTCTTGGGATGCCTGGGTGGTTCATTCAGCTAAGCATCCAACACTTTTTTTTTTAAATGTTTATTTATTTTTGAGAGAGACAGAGCATGAGTAGGGAAGGGGTAGAGAGAAGGAGACACAGAATTGAAACAGGCTCTGAACTGTCAGCACAGAGCCTGGCGCAGGGCTCAAACCCACAAATGGTGAGATCATGACCTGAGCCGAAGTCAGATACTCAACCAACTGAGCCACCCCGGCGCCCCAAGCATCCAACTCTTGATTTTGGCTCAGGTCATGATCCCAGGGTCATGAGATTGGTCCCTGCCTTGGGCTTTGCACTGAGCATGAAGCCTGCTTAAGATTCTTTCTCCCTCTGACTCTCCCCCTGCTTGCCTGCGTACATACCCTTGCTCGCACTCTAAAAAAGAAAAAAGAAAAAAAAGGTCTTATTTCTTGTTTTGTCTCTTTTTTCCTTTGCTTTCCTTTGTTTCATTTCTTAAATTCCACATACGAATGATTTCATATGGTATTTGTCTTTCTTTGACTTAGCATTATACTCTCTATTTTAAGTTGTTGGAAATGGCAAAATTTCATTCTTTTTATGGCTGAATAATACTCCATTGTAGTTACAAGCCACATCTTCTTCATTCATTCATCTATCTATGGACACTTGAGCTGCTTCCATAGCTTGGCTATTGCAAACAATGCTTCAATAAACATAGGGGTGCGTGTATCCCTTTGAATTAGTGTTTTTATATAATTTGCGTAAACACTCAGTAGTGCAAGTCCAGGACTGTACGGTATTTCTATTTTTAATTTTTTAAGGAACTTCCATACTGTTTTTCAGAGTGGCTGCACTAATTTGCATTCTCACCAACAGTGCAAGAGGGTTCCTTTTTCTCCATATCTTCACCAACACTTGTTTCTTGTGTTTTTGATTTTAACTACTCTGACAGGTATGAGGTGAAATCTCACTGTGGTTTTGATTTGCATTTCCCTGATGATGACTGATGTTGAGCATCTTTTCATGTGTTGGCCATCTGTCTGTCTTCTTTGGAGAAATATCTGTTCATGCCTTGTGCTCATTTTTTAATTGGATTCTCTTCTGGGTATTGAGTTGTATCAGTTCTATATATTTTGGATACTAACCCTTTATCAGCTATGTCATTTGCAAATATCTCCTCCTATTCTGTAGGTTACCTTTTATTTTTGTTGCTTGTTTTTTTTTTTTTTTTTTTTGCTGTGCAAAAACTTTATTTTGATGTAGTGCTAATAGTTTATTTTTGCTTTTATTTCTCTTGCCTCGGGGGGCATATCTAGAAAAATGTTGCTATGGATGATGTCAGAGATTACTGCCTGTGCTCTCTTCAAGGTAATGGTTTCAGGTCTCACATAAATGTGATGTCTTTGATCCATTTTGAGTTGTTGTGTATGGTGAAAGAAAGTGTCCAGTTTTCCCAACACCATTTGTTGAAGAAACGGTCTTTTCTCTGTATTCTTATACCTCCTTTGTCAAGATTGACCATGTAACTGTGGGTTTTATTTCTGGGTTTTCTGTTATGTTCCATGGATCTACATGTGTATTTTTTGCCAGTATCACAGTATTTTAATTACTATTGCTTTGTAATATAACTTGGACTGTGGAATTGTGATACCTCTAGTTTTTTCTTTTTCAAGACTGCTTTGGCTATTGAAGCAAAACATTCAACATCATATGTCATATCAATAGGAGAAAAAATAAAACCCATATGATCCTTTTAATAGATGCAGAAAAAGCATTTGACAAAGTACAACATTCATTCATGATAAAAATCCTCTGCAGGGTAGGTCTAGAGGGAACACATCTCAATCTAATAAAGGCCTTATATGAAAAACCCACAGCCAATATCATATTCAATGGTGAAAAACTAAGAGCTTTCCTTCTAAGGTCAGAAATAAATGTAACCACTTTAATTCAACATAGTACTGGAAGTCTTAGCCACAGCAATTAGATAACCTAAAAAAATAAAAGGTATCCAAATTGATAAGTAAAACTTCCCCTATTTGCAGATGACATAATACTATGAACATACCGAAAACCCTACAGATTCTACCAAAAACTACTGATAAATGAATTCAGTACATTCACAGGATAT